AAGTAACTAAGTAATTAATTACTTTTGAAAATAAGTAATCAGTAAAGTAACGGGATTACTTTTTGGGGAAGTAATCAGTAATTAGTTACTGATTACTTTTTTCAAGTAACTTGACCAACACTGGTGTTATTCAGTTTAAACCAAATGTTTGCAGATGTGGGGCAGCATGGTGTGGGGCCACAGTGGGCCCATGCCTGGGCCACAGTGGGGTAACAAATAATACCATAAAACAGACTCTCGCTCACAGCTGCAAAAGTCAAACTCTGCACAGGCAACTGTGCTACACATAAGTACCAGCTATGTTACAGCGGCTGAATGAAGAGAACTGTCCAAGAGCAGCTTCATGAGGTCTGCACCAGCCTGATGCTCAGCTACGTTTCTTAATGACTGTTTTAAAGGCCTGTGCTGCAGGTTTGGGAGGCGCACACAAGCTTCAGTTCATGGTCGGCTTATCAGCGTTTTTGAAATGATGCCATGCTTTTATTTTCCAGTTGAATTAAAAGCGCCTCATATACAGTACGGCGACGTCCTTCTCTCAGCCTTATATCACATATGAGACGTAAAACATGTGCTGCTTTCACCTTCTTACTGTCTCCTGTGTGGTGTTTCCTTGTTATTACATCGTAGCAGACATGCAGGTGTGGGTGACCTGTAGGGCTGTGTGGGCGGGGCCACATGTGTCTGAAGCGGGTCTCCTCACAGAAACGCCATTGAAGGGCTGTGAAGTAAACAAAGTCTGAGTATTTAGAAACCTTAAATATGTTTGATATTGTTCATTATTTAAATGTCAGAAATCAAACTGAAGCAGGTTTGAGTCAGAGACCCGAGCAGCAGCTCTGCCATGATCCTGGAGCGTTTTGTGTTTATTCTAATTTTGCTGTTAGTTCTCAGGGTTTGGCTCTTGTGTTTAGTGCTCAAGTGTTTTATCAGCCCTTCCTGTGTCTCCCTCTGTGCTCTGTTCGTGTCCCCGAGTCATGTTGTAAAACAGTCTGTGTGTTTCCTGTTTTACTTTGTAGGTTGTGTCGTCTCGTTCCTGTGGGCCACGTCCTGATTACCGGTGTGTGTATTTATGGTGTGTGTCTGCCTGTGCTCCTCGTCGCGTCGTCTGTGTTTCTCTGCATTAGTTGGTATCTCTCCGTGTTTCTCTGTTCCATCTCGTGTTTCAGGTTTATTCGTTTTTCCTAGTTTAGGTTCGTGTCTTCGTGCAGTCCTCGACACCCTCATTTCTCTGTATATTTCACACGTTGTAAATAAAACGCTCGCCTGCATCTAGCAGTTTCCTGCATCTTGGGTCCTCATTTAACTCCACC